CGGGGGCCTCCCTTCTCGTGTCCCGGCCCCAGGGGCTCTGTCCTCTTTCTGCAGCCGGCTCCACAAGCTCTGAACGGTCGCCTGCTGGGTCCCCAGGAACCCTGGTGGCATCTACTCCCCATCAGCAGGACCCTTGAGTCTTGATTGTCTATAGAGCGCTTAGCAGGTGACAGAATGCTTTCCGAGGCACCATTTTCTTCTGCTTATTTATTTTTACTACCGCTGTTATATTAATAACACTGTCACACCCTCCAGCACCAGTGTTTGCCACCCAATGTGGGGTGTCCCCACCCCCACCACTGCTCTGACACCAGCCGGGCGCCCTGCAGTTCTGGGTGTCCCATTCCACGGGGCAGCAGCTCCATCCCACAAGACTCTGTCACGATTCAGATGTCCGTTGCAAGTAGGAAGTTCGGAGGTTACCCACACCTCCATCTGAACGGCGGCTGCAAGATGGGGTTCCCACCGCACCCTCCTCGGGTTTGATAATTTGCTAGGAATTCCAAAACGTGTACTTAGCTTTCCTGGTTTGTTATATATTAAAAGACGTCATAAGGGATACAGACGGACAGCCGGATGAAGAGGTGCGTGTAGGGCGAGGTCCGGAGGAGTCCCGAACCCAGGAGCTTCTGTCCCCGTGGAGTTGGGCTGTACCACTGGCCCGGCACGTGGGCGTGCTCACCAACCCCAAAGGTCTCCAAACCCTGTAATTTACAGATTATTTTGGAAGTGTGATCACTCAGGCACGATCGCTCATTAGCTGAATCTCCAGGCCCCCTTCCCTCCCCAGGGGATGGTCAGGATGTTTTAAGTCAGGAGTTGACGAAGCAAGGCTGACTTCACTCCGTGCACCCGATGGGGGGGTTTGTGAAGAATGCCCACGAAACGCACATTTTCTGAGAGCCGCTGGTGGCCTTAGGCAATCACAGTAGCAGCCGCATGGTCGTATGGTTATATCCAAGAGGCTCCAAGGATTTATCTATCCGCCATGGGTCATATGGCTTCAAATGCCCGAAACCCATTTTGCCGTCTGCTCCAGAGGGCTCATTGAAATTCCGCTCTGAATATTCCATGTCAGGGGCAAGAGCTCTTTAAAAAATGCAATTTTATCTCTGTCTCAAAAATAAATAAACGTTAAAAAAAATTTTTTTAAAGGGGCACCTGGGTGGCTCAGTCGGTTAAGCGTCCCGACTTCGGCTCAGGTCATGATCTCTCGGTCCGTGAGTTCGAGCCCCGCGTCGGGCTCTGGGCTGACAGCTCAGAGCCTGGAGCCTGCTTCAGATTCTGTGTCTCTCTCTCTTTCTGACCCTCCCCCGTTCATGCTCTGTCTCTCTCTGTCTCAAAAATAAATAAACGTTAAAAAAAAAATGCAATTTTGTTATGGCAATCTCTCAGGCTTTGCTAGTCTGCCGGTTTAAGCCACAGCTGATAGCAACAGGCCGCGAAAGAAAGAAGATTCCTGTGTACAAAAGGAAATTAGACCTGGCTTCAGCCGAAGAAGGGAAAATAGAACTAAGTTCCTTCTGATGGAAGAAAATCTAATCATGCAGCAGAGGCCGTGCACTGCAGACAGAAGCTCTTAGGCGGGGGACAGTGGGAGTCAAGAGACATGAGTCTTACGTCCGCGCCATCGCTCACAAGCGTTGTGACCTTGGGCGAGTCTTAGCGTCTCTGGGCTTCCCTTTTTTTTCACGTGTGACCTGAAAAGTTTGGACCAGCTCAGTGGCTTGAAACGTGCTTGAAACTTGTTGGAACTTACTCCCGCGGGAATGCATTTTACACGGGCAGCCAGAACGCACAGGCACCGTACCCAGCTAGCCACACACGTGCGTGGCTGAGACCAATGTTTCACAAAGGCGCACTTGTCCTGTCTGAAATGCATGGATGTGTCCTGTTCCTGTCTGGTCTGTCCTCGTCAGAAAGCTGGTCCTGACGCTAAACTGATCTCATAAGTCTCAGGAACCCACCATTCGAAAAGCACAGGACCAGATAGTCTGTGACATCCCTTCCGACTTGTGATTTCTGTGATTGTCTTCCGATGTGGAGGCGAAAGACAGGAGGGGCTGGCCAAGAGTTCCAGGGTTCTGGAAAGGCAGACAGTGGCTCCAGGGGCCTGTCCCACCCGAGACGGCAGGGAGGTCAT